CCCTAGACCTGATGGATGGTGGCAGGGGAACGCGCTCCTGCGCTCAGAGAGGGAGCCAACAACAGAGGTGGGGGAAGGAAAGAAAAAGCACCAAGGCAGAGCCTCAAAAGGAAAAATATGACTGCCCATACATGGTTTTCCTGAAGCAAAAGAGTACGTTGGTGAGCGGATGAGGACCACTGTTTGCAGGAAGGAATAAGGCAAACCCTGAGCAGGGGAGAGAGGCTCACGGTGCCTGTACCCAGACCAACATGTAAGCACAGACTCACTGCACTTCTTACAGTTATTTGATTTTAAAGGGCAACAAAGCTATAACCAGAACTAATAACACAAAGAGCTGGAGCAGCCTGAGAAGAGGTAACTATTTCACACTCTGCTGCTGGTTACCTCCACCCAGCTCTTCCGAGTTTGAAATCCTGTCCAGGTATTCAGACTGTTAGAAGACCTTTATTTGGTACCCAACATGAGTGGTGGGATTTGGGGTATTTCTCCTAACTGTTCCATGCTTCAGTAACTGTGTCTGCACAGAGGGACCTTTCAAAGATGGGAAAGTACTGGAGATATTTGGGTGTAACCCACCAAAGAGGTGGAATCTCTCACTGACTGCCTCAAGAATAAAGCACGGCGTTATATTCCCACTTGTTACACAGGAATTATTTAAACTCTGCAGGTTATCACAAAGGTCCTGAAAAACTTAAAGTAATCTCAGAATAAAACCTCTCTCATCGAATGAAATACTGCAGCGACGCCCGTTCTTATTTGTGAATGAATAGGCTGCACTGATTTATAGTAATTGATCTCAGTGCTTGGCAGGTAGTAAAACCTTACCCAAATTACAGCTGCCACCCTAAAACTGCATTTGCATAACTTCTTTGTAAGTCAATCTTAAGCCTTTTTACCATAATAATAAAAGTTGTCAATATTTAAAGAGACATGAAAAATAACCACACACACATGCTTCCTTCCACTTAGCTTTTAAATGCTGGCATATATTTCGGTGCTTCAGGGGACTGTAAGGAACTGCATCGTGTGGATTTGGAGATTACAGAAGAAGCTGGGTCTGACCTTCAGCTCGTAGGGCACCCACAGAGCTGGGGAGCAATCACAGGCAGGAGGCTGCAGCTGTGAAGTACCTTCTGTGTTCCACGTGAGGATTATAAGATCAATACAACATTTATTGGTATCCAGCAGAGACAACTGCCCACGACAGCTTAGTCCTGCAAGGACACGGGTACCTGGCTCTTTATTAAGAGCACTGCTAGAGGGAGTCTCACTATGAGCTCACCCAAGATTCCAGCCATATTTGATCAAAGCACTGCTCACTGTAATTTTGTAAGCAGTCAGCAGCAAGGGCAGATCCTCAGGATCTCAGATGAGCCCTGAGTGATCAGGAGGCCCAGCTTCACCAGCCTCTTATTGCAGGTCAGTTGATTTATCCCCCTTCTGTCTCTTGCTCTCAAGACCTATCCTGCACATTTATTGGTATCCAGCAGAGACAACTGCCCACGACAGCTTAGTCCTGCAAGGACACGGGTACCTGGCTCTTTATTAAGAGCACTGCTAGAGGGAGTCTCACTATGAGCTCACCCAAGATTCCAGCCATATTTGATCAAAGCACTGCTCACTGTAATTTTGTAAGCAGTCAGCAGCAAGGGCAGATCCTCAGGATCTCAGATGAGCCCTGAGTGATCAGGAGGCCCAGCTTCACCAGCCTCTTATTGCAGGTCAGTTGATTTATCCCCCTTCTGTCTCTTGCTCTCAAGACCTATCCTGCTTATAAGTATCTAAAGGGTTAGTTGAAGGATGTTGGAGCAGACTCTTTTCAGTGGTTTCCAGCGATAGGACAAGGGGCAATGGGCTGAAGCTGGAACATAGAAAGTTCCATTCAAATATGAGAAAAAACTTCTTTACAGTGAGGGTGACAGAGCCCTGGAACAGGCTGCCCAGGGAGGGTGTGGAGTCCCCTTCTCTGGAGATCTTGAAGACCCACCTGGATGCTCCTGAATGATGTGCTCTGGGCAACCCTGCTTTAGCAGGAGAGTTGGACCAGATGATCACTAGAGGTCCCTTCCAACTCCGACAATTCCCTGATTCCGTGCTCTTGGGCTGCTTCATGGTAACTCTGGAGTAACCACAGTGTGAGCTGATGTCCTCGGGCTGGGGATTCCCAGAAGGACTATGGGAATTGGTTCCCAAATTTCCCTTAAAGCCCCCAGGAGCAGGTTGCTTAGCTCCCATGGACTGCCTTGAAACTCCTAGTCGTAATCCAAGCCACTTGTGTAACCTGCCCCAGTGAGATTTCAGTCTTGCAGGAAGGTCTCCATCCTACGACACAGCCGGACAATTCCAACAGAAACACCACGTTTTTCAACAATCAAGTGGATGGCTTGTCTCAGCTCTGGTGGAGAAATGGGCTGTTTGTCCTTTCGCTCTAAATACTATTTGTTTTTCTGTGTTCTGTGAAAGCTGCAGCTGACCCTCCAGTTGCTGGAGCTCAGGGAGCATGAGTCAGGCCAGGTTGGTCCAGAGGCTACAGAAACGGGTGCTGGTGCCTCCCCTGACACAAGAACTTCACTCCTGCTCTCCTGCCTTGTACTTGAGTAGTCTTCTCCCAAATGAGAACTGCCCCACAAGTAGAGCATTAGAAGAGAGTAATTCAAATTCATAATTAATATTTTCCCAGTCCAAAGGAGGCCTAAGGCACCTATTAAATTGGGGTTGAGCATATTTCAGGCAGGTATCCTTAAGTAACTCACAACTACCTTGATCTCTGAATACCAGAAGGACAAGGCACACTATTTTTTACAACCAAAGTATATTTTTTTCTCAATCTGTGACATTAAAGAGCCCTAGGCAACTTTCAAGATTAATTGCAATCACTCTCAGTCCTCACCATTCCTCCCAGACACCCCTCTTATGTAAAAAAAAAGGGGGAACGTGCAGCTGAGTCACCTGAACCAGCCTGGCCAGCACCTCAGACCCTGCTGATGCCATCTCAGCACCAGCACAGACCTTCAAAGTGGGCTGGCCTGATTAATTAGTTCTCCTGAACATTCCCCGTGTCGCCTGCCCTGCACAAAGCAGTCTCTTCCACCCATTCCTTTGTTCTTGCCACTTTCAAATAATTTCTAAAATCGGATCGTTTCTCCCTGGGTGCCCAGAACATTGAAGTAAATGTAGGGTAAGCCAAATTGTACATATTTATTCTCCTGAGATATTTCTCATTTCTTTGGTCCGTTCAGCCTTATCTGTATCTGTCTCTTCATGCACACTTCAGAGGGCCACAGAGCAACTGTATCATTTTTGGGAGCTAGCATCCAACAGTAAATATTTATGTATATAAAATATATATGCACAAAATTAAATATATATAAATAAATATGTATAGATACAAACACACAGTGTCTATGGGATGAACACATGAAAAATGATGGGTTTTTTTTTAAAAAAAGTGCACAGCACCCAGCAGCTGTGTCACGCAGCAGTACTAAGATGGATGAACACATCAAAGTTCTGTCTCTCTGTGAAGATCCCAGTCACATCACTGGAAAACTATAGCACCTCCAACACAACTCTACCAGTGCCACTTAGGGCTTCACATGGAAGCTACTATATTTTATAAATGATGATCTGTGTTCTCTGAAACTCAGTGCATCAAACTCCACAGAGGGGTGCAAGGGAAATAAATTACCCCAGTATATCTAGAATTCTTTTCCTCATTAAATTTCCCAGGCTTTATATTTTCAGCTGAGCATGTTCTCTGATTGCCAGCTTTTGGAGCAGGGGCTTGTTTTGCTCTGCACTAGGATAATGGTGGCATAATAAGGGAGATCTCTGGCCAGAGCAAGACCAACAACTGCAGCAGTAATAGAAAGGAACGCTACTAATAAAAACCCAAAACTTACATAACCAGAAAGGAATACTAATAAAAAGCACACACACACACAGACCCATCCTGCCATGGATTTTTCACCATCATTTATTATCATTAAAAAGAAGTTCAAAATATGAGCAGGTCAGAACTGCTCATGCTGCTACCCATAAACAGATACTTGGTTTAGGAGACCAGTTACACACACACACACCAGACTGTGCCAATCTAATTTCTAATGGACCTATCTCCACACCACAGAAGCAACCACTCTCTCTTCACAGAGCTGCCTGTAAGCTTTACAAATGCCTTAGGCTAAAAAGACTCAGAAGGTCACTTCTCATGCCCAAGTGGTCCTTCCAGGGTCGGACTGAAGCCCACAGACAGCATAAGCACGTAAAAAAAATTGCATTGCTCCGTGCTACTTCCCATCCTGCTGATAAATCCAGGCCTTCCTTCCCAACTTGGCATTTTAGATAAGCAGTTAGTAAACAAAAACAAACCCAGGCGCAAAACCCCTGCCCAAACCCGCTGTGAGCACTTACAAATCCGATCAGATAAGGGCTGCCAGCATCTCCCAGGAGGTGGGAAGTGAAACTCTGCAAGGCCACGGCGGTTGCACGGCGTGTTGGAATGACCACGTACTGCAAAGAAAGAAGGGAAAGGAAAAAAACAGATATAGGTAAGAAAACTGAACTAAAGAACGCGTCCAGCTGAATTGTATCGCTCAGTTTATGCCCAGGTCAGGACAAAGTAAAGAAGGTCCCCCAGATACCAGGGGCAGACACAGTCCATGGGTGGATTAAGTAACTGGGGAGCCCTGGTGGCCTTTGGGGCTTTCCAGTGCTCCCAATGGTAGGTGCTGAGGGAACAAAGTTCTGTCTTGGCTGTGCTCCCCTTTAACAACACCAAATTTATTGAGTTTGACTAAAAACTTCACCCACAAGACATGGGTCTTGCTCCTCAGGCCATGTTTTGCTTGGCCAAAGGGAGAGTTGGAGGTTGCCTGTTCCCATCCTGCTGATAAATCCAGGCCTTCCTTCCCAACTTGGCATTTTAGATAAGCAGTTAGTAAACAAAAACAAACCCAGGCGCAAAACCCCTGCCCAAACCCGCTGTGAGCACTTACAAATCCGATCAGATACGGGCTGCCAGCATCTCCCAGGAGGTGGGAAGTGAAACTCTGCAAGGCCACGGCGGTTGCACGGCGTGTTGGAATGACCACGTACTGCAAAGAAAGAAGGGAAAGGAAAAAAACAGATATAGGTAAGAAAACTGAACTAAAGAACGCGTCCAGCTGAATTGTATCGCTCAGTTTATGCCCAGGTCAGGACAAAGTAAAGAAGGTCCCCCAGATACCAGGGGCAGACACAGTCCATGGGTGGATTAAGTAACTGGGGAGCCCTGGTGGCCTTTGGGGCTTTCCAGTGCTCCCAATGGTAGGTGCTGAGGGAACAAAGTTCTGTCTTGGCTGTGCTCCCCTTTAACAACACCAAATTTATTGAGTTTGACTAAAAACTTCACCCACAAGACATGGGCCTTGCTCCTCAGCCCATGTTTTGCTTGCCCAAGGGGAGAGTTGGAGGTTGCCTGCGGCAGAGAGCTCAGCACCACCAGCCCTCCCAACAAGGACCTGGCTGTCACCTGGGATACCGTGTTTTTTCCATAATAAACACATCATTTTGTTTCCTAAACCATAAGCAATTCACATTAGTATGAAAGGTCACGCATCCTCCCCTCCCACTCCATCTCTCACCACTTTTTTTTTTTTCTCAAAAAATACATGATTCCACTTGTGAAAAGTAACAAAGAGACATTAGGAAAATTGTCCATAGCCAAGATATTGTAGTTTGGTCTCCACTTCTCGCACAGGACACGACACCCACAGCCAGGTCAGGCAGAATCAGTTTGACCACACAGGATCAGTAGAAAAGATGAATTATTTCCTCATTAAGGGCCCAGAGCTCACAGAAAAGAGAGCGCTAACCATGGAAGGGGATGAAAGATTAAAAAATGAAAAAACCCAACAAATCCCCATCCTGTGGAATGACCTAAATTTTATAACACACATTTAGAAGCAGAAAAAAAGTAATTGTTTCCTGCATAGAACTTGTGAAAGAAGCTGGCTAAGAACATCTGCATCAAGTCCACATATCCCGGGTTAGAAACGGATGTTGTCTCAATTTAAATGCTGTAATGAAGAATTTAATAGGTCTCTACATCCAAGTGAGCTTTGTTTCCATTTCCAAGCGCTGAATCCTGCTCTGCCTTTTCTGGTTTCTCTGCTGAGCGCTCTGCCCTGCCAGAAATGACTCTCTTGTTCTGCTATTTGTAGACCACCGTCCCTTTTCCTTCTCCCCTTTCTCTCTGATGGGTTGCCTTTAGCCTGTCTTTAGCCTTCCCAGACTTCAATTCATTCTTGCAATCCTTTCCTGAAGTCGTTTATTAATTAGATGTGACATTTCTGGACTGGCATATCCCCCAGCTAGAGATGAATTCGCCTTTGCTGACCATGGTGGGGAGAACTCACTGCTCCACAGCCTCGTATCTCACGGCACAGGAGCTGAAGCACCGTTTCAGTGCTTCAACACGGGGCAGCTCCCCTGCCCCGTCCACAGAGGAAAGAGCCATTAAAAAGAGGAAAGAAAAGAAACAGCGCTGAGAAAATCCACACTAAAAGGGCGCTGACGTCTATTTAGAATGACCATCGAATTTTCCAAGCGGAGACAATTAGGACCGATGGGTAAAATTAGATTAAATGCTTTTCCTTAGGGTTTTAGGATGTGCTTGGAGAATGACCTGCCTGTTCTTTCATTATTGGTTTGACAAAGCCACAAACACACCCTGCTAATGGGCTTTGACACCACCTATTAAATGGGCACGCTGGAAAACTCCTGTTGTGCAAGAGAAGAGCAAAAGATGCTCAGATCCGCAGCAGCCACCTGGCAGGGACCATCCTCCTTTGGCATCCAGGAGCTCAAAATAAGACTTGAAGGCTCAGAGAAATCCCAAGAGAAAAATAAGGTCTAGACAGAATTAGAGAGACAGAAATGTACTGAAGGTCACACGCAGCAGGAGAGCCACGCAATTCATTACCGTTCCCCAAAGACGTGGGGTAATGGGGGCAACCTGGATAGATTAGAGGGAAGAAAAGGGGAAAAAAATAGTTATTATTCTTCCCACCTGGCCCCAGTTCACACAGGAGCACGGGAGAAGCATTTGGCAAGCGCTGTTCCAGAAATGGGCATCTGAGAAGATCAAGTGAAATTCTACCTAATTCAAGAGCCCAGAGCTGTGCAGGTCTGTGAAACAAGGAATTTTAAACTTACCTTAAAATATTTTTCTTTCTATAAGGTTTATGCTAATAAATCTGGAGAAGAAAGCCCAGCTCTATGGTCCAGCCATTTTCAAAGGAAATGGCAAATTTATTCAAAATGCACCATTTTCAGTGCATTGGCGAATTACTGCCAGTTGGAGAAAGAGGTTTGAATGATACCTCCATTGTATGTATATGTGCATATATATATATTTATACACACACATATATATTATACACGATTTTGCATGTATATCTGTATTATACATACATGTAGTTTTGCAAGTAGCAATACATTCTCCAGAAAGTTTTCAGTGTACCTACCTAAAGAAGTTGGGCACTATGGAGCGCCAAAACTTAGTAAATTTAGCCTGAAATTCAAGCGACAACCACCACCCCCCAAGCCAAAATCCCAACATGTGGCAAGCAAATGAACAAGAGATTTTTCCTCCCGCTCTAAAAAAAAATATTGGAAAGAAAAAAAGGCTTAAACCATCATCTCCAAAAGACTAAAAAAGTACTCCACCCTATCCTGCTTAAAAAGCATTTTATTCTGATGAGAGGAAGTAGTTGGTAGCACACACTATCTACTGTTCTAGGAAGACAGCAGTAAATTACAGCTCTAACTGGGCATTTTTATACTAAAATAGACCTAAATTCAAACCATACACAGCCTGGTCTGAACATCCCACAGAAGCTGGAGGTGGGAGAGCCACAGCAGCCGCGGCAGGAGCCCGTGGGATGGTCCTGGCTCATCTCTCATCCAGGTTGAGAGCCCAGCGGCACCGAGGACGGGCAGGGAGGCTGAGCAAGCAGCTTTGGCAAACCTCTCCTCCTTAAATAGAGGTTCAGAAAGGCCATGGTTTACTGCTGCCATCCTCTTCCCGGAGTGAAACCAGCAGGATGAGCTGGTGTGGAATCAGGAAAGCCAAGGAGAGATCACCCTGCTCCCGGTAAAAGGCCATGTGCCAAAGAGGGAAGCACTGATGTTTATGTCTGATTTTTGATAGAAAACTCTACTCTCTAAAGCACTTTGCTGCTCTTTCTGGGTCAGGCAGTGATCTTCAGGACAAGGCACACTGGCCTCTTTCAGCACCAAAAGCAAAGAAAACATTTGGTTACTCCATTCCAGCCGCTGCCCAAGCTTGGACGTGGTGTCCCTCCTGCAGCCACTGCTCAGTAAAGGCCCAGGCTGTGATCCAGAGACACCAGCCCAAGAGAGCCCCTTCACTCAAGCTAGGCAGACACTGCCTAAAAAACCTCTTTTAAATGAAGTCAAAAGAAGCTGAGCTGGTCTCCAAACCACAGCCCAGCACGGAGCAGCACAGATCCACCTGCAACCCCACCGGAGAACGGCAGAGCCGTCCCTTGGCACATCCCTCCTGTGCTGGGGAGGTTGAGCTGGACCATGGACCCTGGTTCCAATGCTCTCCTCATCCTGCCCTAAAATCTAAACCCCAGCACGCAGGTTACAGAGGTGTGGAAGCACACTGGGAGAAGCAACAATGAGGAATTCTGCGAATGGCATTTATCTTCAGCTGTAAAAATAGGGCAGTGTTGTATACTACATAAATAATTGTTTTTTATGGATAGGGAAGACAATCAGAACAAAAAGGAACGTTCCTCCATGCCTACAGCACAGCTGAGCTCCACTCCGTGCCTCTTTCAAGCCCAAAGGAAGACTCTGACTCTACGGCAAAGCATCAAGGCCAATCTCTTCCACATCAGCAGGAAGAAATAATGTTTTAAAAGAAAAAGTAAGTATGCAGAGCATTTTCTGCACGCATACTTTGCATGCATTGGGACTTTGCATAAACCAGAGGATGGCTTCTCTCAGCAAAGACCCCAAGAGATTGTGATGACAATAGCTGAGGCCCTTTAAATCACCTACTGGCTCTTACACAGAGATGCCACCAAGCCTCTGTCAGTCATCCCTGAGATGTGCTGTGGTGGAAAAACCCCACTGCCAGGACCAGATTCCACACAGTCCTGAGCCCTCAGCACAGCTCAATTTTACACTCTTGCCTGCTGCACCGAAGCTCATTCATTATTGCTGTTACAAGGCAGTTTTAATGCTACTTTGGGCTTCTGGTAATTTTGAGGCCAATTTGCAAAGATGGTTGATAAAATCTGTTTCATAATTAGCATGCTCCATAAGAACCATCCCCCCTTCCCTAAGCACCGTCTGAGCATGTGCCTGGGAGGAGATTTGGAGAGTTGCACTCAGGAGAATAAGGCCTGTTTTGTACAAATTTGCATTTTGGAACAAATATCAGCCTTTTAAAAATGTGCCGTACATTCTGCAGCGCTGACAGTTTATCAAACCCAGCACTCAGCACCTTCCACTGCAGAGAACCCGAGGAGCTGCCCACCCAGCGGCGACACCAGCGGATGTGATGGAAGCACCAAGCTATGAAGAGCCAACAATTAAATCTGAAGATAATAAGCAAACATCCTTGCTTTGCCAAGGAAATTAAACTTGTAAAACCTCTGAAGATGCTTACCGACTTGCCAGATAAGGTTTTTAAGCAGTCGTGGGATCTGTAATTCTTGGGAGAGCTATGCTAAATCATTTGGGATGCAGTTTCCAAAAAGCCTCACTTCTGGCATAATGAAATCAGTGGGAACAGCGTTCAGCCAGTATTGAGTGCTTTCCATCCATGAAAACAGGATAATATTTATGTATATGATGAAAGTGTTGTTAAGCTCACGCTAATAATGCTTTTAAATTCCTTGCCAGCCTCAGGCAAGAACAGACACTTCTGATTACACCAAATAAATAGTAATCAGAAGAAATTAATTTGCCAAACATTTAAAGTGCATCTCGCTAAAGCACATCCACACCTTTCCCCAGCTCTCTCTGACAAAGCTGTCAAACACGGTTACGGCCCTGGCTCTCACCCACTGTCTGA